TTTACAACCAAAATTGAGCCCAAAATTTGTTAAATGAGACATTTGTTATGTGAATTTTGCTCCATTTTACGACCTTTCTTGCCTCAGCTGTTAAGTGCATCATTGCAGTTGATAAGTTAACCTGGTTGTTAAATGAATCTGGCTTCCCCATTGACTTTGTCAGAAGGTCACAAAAAATGATCACATGATCTTAGGACACAGCAATGGTCATAAACATGAACCAGTTGCCAAGCAATCTGATCACATGATAATGGGGAAGTTGGAAAGTTCATAACTGTGAAAAAGAGTCATAAGTCCCTTTTTTCAGTGCCATTGTAACTTTGAACGGTCACTAAATGAAGTGTTATAAGTCGAGGACTACCTATACAACATCCCACACCAAGCAGCATAGGATTTACCTGCCACCTAAGAAGAACAATGAAAAAGTAGAACAGGTTTAGAGATGATGAGAGAACTGGAAATCAAATCTTATGAGGAATGGTTACAGGAATTGGGTTGCTTATCTTGTGGAAGAGAAGATCTCAGGGAAATGTGATAGTTGTCTTCACAGAGCAAAAGGAGCGAGGATTGGACTTGTTCGCTGTTGCCCTGGAGAGCAGACACAGAAGCAGTGGATTGAAACTACAGTGAAGTTAAATATGAGGAAGAATTTCAGATGACAAGAACAGTTAACCAGTGGAATAGGTTATCTCACAAAGAGATACGTCCCCTTTCACTGAAGTCTTTAAGCAGAGGTAGTCATTTGTCTAAAATGCTTTAATCCTGCACTGATCAGGGATTTGATTAGAATATTTTTAAGATCCATCTCTACATTTTTGTGATCCCTGTTCACTCAACTACAGATAAATTAGATGGCCATCCTGTTTCCAATGATACTTGGACAGACATCTCTTAAAGTTAACAAACAAATATGAAGTTAACAGTCTTTATGCCATTAGCCAGACTCCCAAGGTTTTGGGTTCTCCATTATCTTCATTCAATGACACAAATGGCATCATTTGGGGCTATTCAGCAGTGCACAGTTGCAAGAAATGGAGTTGTTCCTTTAAATTCCTTGCAGCTCTGCTTGTTGGATGAGAAATCCATCCTCCTCTCCCTCTTCCTCACCCTTCCTCCAGACTGGAGACATAAGGACTCAGCTGAGATGTAGACTTATTAGATCTATTGATTGTAATCGCTATCTCAGAATTTATAGTAACTGAATTGGAGAACAGTGCAGTAGTTTCCTGAATTTCCAAATAAATCCACAAATACAGGCTGGCTATTAATTCTTTTTCACTAAAAAATGTTGGGTTTATATGACAAACTAGGTTAAATTGTCTAATCTGGGTCAGAAGTTATTATTGCATAACACACTGAATCAAACTGGTCACCCACATTTTGGCCTAGCATGCTTGCAAAACTTCCTTGTCTGTTTAGGTTAATATCTTTTGTGAACCCAAGAAATTGGATAAATGTCAGGTCTGCCATCTTTGGCTTGGTGCCTCGCTGGCATCCTGCCACCAAAGGCCAGGAGGGAGGGGGCATGGGGGGAGGACAAATGGGCAATAATCATGTATGGGGATGTGATGGGAATTAGGGAGGGGGAATGATAGGTTGAGGAAGACCAGAGAAGCATATCTCAGGATTTCTCAAAACACCTATGTGGCTCTTTGAAATCTAAAGATGAATTGGTCATGGGGGGAGGGCTGGGATGAGTGGAAAAATTTCTAACTTTTCACATGGGAAATTTAGTTCTAGCCTGACTTTACTGCAGCCAGCAATCTTTGGTAAAAGACCTTATCACTTCACCCAAATGGAGTCAAGGGTCTTTCTTTCCCAAGGGACCTGATTGGGGCAGGTCTAGCAATAACTTTGGTCTAATGGTTAAGGCACAAGCCAGAAAGCATGAGACAATGAATTCAAGTCCCTCTTTAGTTAGGAAGATAGGAAAAAATATTTCATTGCTATTTTACCACTGGGTTCTGAGAATGACAGCAAGTGCTTCATGGATGGCCTGTCCTCTGCAGAACAGATCTGCAGTTATTTTTTGAACAGTATTACTTCTGGCAGTTTATTGTTGATGAACCATATCAATTTGCTGCTGATATACAATGGAAAGAAGCTTAGAGTTGGTTTATGTAAAACACTGATGTGGAGCTCTGAGTGCATTTGAAAGCAGTGTCAAGAATCATTCTTCTTGTCACTACTCAGGCGGAAACAATTGGATTTCTGTCCTGAGAAATCAAATGGCTTTTTAAAGTGCAGATGAACCATCTGGGATCAAAGTTCCCCTTATTGCTAGTTCAGGCCTTTTTAACCTGAAAAAAGTACAGCTGTTGATTGAACTTTCTGCAAAGAAAAAATGTCTAGGATTTGTTTTGTCAAGGACTTTGTGTTTCCAGGTTATGAAGATAAGATATAAGAGCCACTGAATGTTTCAGTTTTGAATCATTAGAGATGAACAGACTATTCAGATGATAACTCTCTTGGACTGTTTTTGTCCAGCAAGCAGCCTTCAGCATTACATTTGCCTCTAATCCTGGAAGCAACATTTTATCTACCAAATATCTGTCTAATTTGTGTAGCCTCTGATCCTTGGGAATTGAAGCCTGCCTCCCTACTGTATCCACTGGTGAGAAACCTCACTTGCCTCTGGTAGTAAGAACAGAAACAATATTCTGGGACTGTTTCCTTGTTCTTTGGTCACAGCAAAAGCTAATAGGGACAAGTATAACTATTTGGTAGGTGGAAGATCAGCATAAAATTCAGGAAAGTGATGTTGGCCAATATACTTTGATTTTTCCCAGAAAAATGGCACCAATGTTGTTGGAGAGGCAAGCAAGGATTTAAGTCCTTGATCTTACAGTATAAATATGTTGAGAGATTCTACCTCAACCTTTTCCCCTCAGATTTAAAATCAGATTTCTATGGAAACTGTCTATCACAACTGAAACACTGAAAATGTATTAGAGGAAGGAAATGAATGTATTACAAGATTACTGTATATATAACACAGCAAAACATATGTTTTCTATTAGCTCACTGTCTTGTGCTATTCTGGAATCCAGCAGCACTGCACATTGGTGGTGCATTCATTTCAATATTTCTTTAAAAGATAATTTTTAATTTGCTGCTGGGGGATGGAAATGATTTGTTCTGTTTTGTCAATGAAGAGAGAGAGAAGGATTAGCTATTTTAACCATCTCTTTGCATTTGTGCTGTGGAACATAGTATGATCATCCACCTGGTAAAGTCTGGAACTGGGGCATTTAGCCGATTACTTCAGCAAGTTTTCTGTGGAATGGCCATATTTGATAAAGCTTGAGTTTAGTTAAGATGACTGCCAATGGCAAGCAGAGAGACGCATCACAGTCAGGAGAAAAAAAACCTACAAAAGAATAAGTGCCACCTTACTATACAAAATGCAGGTTACAACAACTACTACAGGGTACAAGCAGCAGCCAATAATAATAAAAAAAATCTCAGTAAAATGCTAAATATTTTACACTCTCTAATTGTTCATATTTCTGCAAAACAATTCCCTGTTTTCTGATATTTATCAGTAAATATTTGTAACCTTTTAGCCTTTTTTATTATGATAATTAGTTTAAGTTGCAGATGTCTAGTATGTACATTGTCTTGGTATAGGTATATTAAGTATATGTAAATGTAATAAATATGCATGTATAAATAAAGCTACCCTGGAATGGAAAGCCACAAAATCATACATTGAAAAGAACTAAAGTTTAACTTTTTGCTCAGTACCGGTACAAGAAATTCAGTACTAGAACAGTTGAAACAGAGAACTGAAGAGGGACAGCTCGCTACCCTCTAGAAATTGGCTTGGTACATTGGACAGTTTCTCTTAATGTCAGTTGAAGTCTCTTCTTCTGCAACTTCAGTTCTGTTGGTCTAATTCTGCTGTCTGCATAGGCAGAGAACAATATTTCTCACTATTTGCATGACAGTACTATAAGTATTTGATGAAAGCTTAATCTCCCATTCAGTAGTCTCTTCTCTAGATGATTACTAGTGCATCTACAACTTTTATATGCTCTGTGATTTATTGTAATTTTGTTTATGTTTTGACAGATTTTTCCTTTTTAGTTGCATGTTGTGTACATTACTTTGTGATATTTTAATACGAATGCAATGTAGAAATATATTTTAAGAATTAAATATATGGATACACTTAATTCGTTCAGCCTTTCTTCATAGGACTTATTATTTAAACTGCAACTCTACAGTCACCTTACAGGGGAGATGGGCGGTATAAAAATTTAATCAATAATAATAATAAATTCTGTCAGAAGAGATAGGCAACTTACAGACATGTTTGATATTATCAACATTTCCAAAGATCTCAAAAAATGGAAATTTTCTGCTATGCGATGTTCAGGCTCACCTCCTTTTTTAAAAATGAAATAAATATAAATGAATTAAGCCTCTTGTAAGTTTAATGCACTTATTCTGTGTTTGACTTCTCACCAAACATTTAGGGACACGTGGAATTAAGGGCCAATCTTGTCTTCTGATAGTGGCAATGTGGTCCTCAGATAAGATAACATAGATGGATGATCTAAAGTTTGTATGTAATCTCCAATATCCTATCTTCCTAGAATTCTTCCAAATTTTGACTGAAAAATGACCAAATTTCCGTAATTATGATTTTTTTGTGATTTCCTCCCCAAAATTAAACTTTGAAAACCATTCTCATTTCTACCTTTGAACATTCCCAAGCCACCAGATAGAGGTGGATTTCCTCTAAGAAGTTTCCCCCTATAATTTTATTTCTATTCATAACCCCCACCCAACCCCACCCACCCCCGAAAATATGAAGTTATCCAGCTATCAGATGGCTTCCTGTGGACTTCCAGAAAATTGTAATGCAAGATTGCAGCTCTTCCAACATTGCCTACCTGCTAATATAAATCTGTGGAAGATACTTTGCAACCACAGTATTTATGCCAAGATGATTGTCAGAATCTTAGAATGAATATCACATGAAAACAACTTACCAGCCTGCAACCAGATCTGCTCAAGAGTTGTCCACAGCTGAATAGGCCCGTGCTTTGAGGCAGAACTCTGCATAGTTATCTCTGACATGGCCTGTTCCAGTCGTGATGCTGCAATGGAAGATGCTCGCTGGGAGCCTGGAAGAAGAGGCAGAAGATCTGACTCATATATTATTCGATTGCTGTTTATATACGGGGGTGAGAGATAAGTACCTTGATCCACATATTAAACGTATGGCCCAGTGGGAGGCCCATATTAAAACAACATACCGTACCTCATGTGTGGCCAGAATCAAAAAACCACATTTAATACAGCACAATTTATGATTAAAATGGTCCGACTGAGATCGGCATATGTGGGCCTGATTGGGGTAGATTGAAGGGGTGATACAGAAATATAATTTTATGTCATTTTATTCTATTTTACAAATTATGTATTAAATTATTGTATTTTATCCTATAACTATCATATTTTACCCTACTCTCATTTTAAATTGTTTGTTTAGAATTTTATTGGTAATACGTGTTTGAACCTGTATGTTGATATGGCCTATAGGCTAATAGATAAATACATACATACTGTACCAGGGGTGAAATCTATTTACCTTCCTTACCGGTTCGGAAGTGCACGCACCGCATATGCTTGCTCACTTGCGTGTGTGCGTCATGTGTGCGCGCATACCTTCTGCACATGTGCAAAACCTTCTGTGCATGCGCAAAACCTTCTGCGCATGCACAAAAACTTCTGCGCATGTGCAGGAGGTAAAAAAAACAGTAATGACACCTGGGCGGCGATCACTACCGGATCGCCGAACCACAGGGAAAAATCGCTACCGGATCATGTGATCCGGTCCAATCCGGGAGCATTTCACCCCGATAGATACATACATACATACATAAACATAATCAAGCTTTTGAGGTTAACTATATAATTCAAATGATGGTATTTAATGAAAAGTCTATAGCAGTTTCTTATTCCTGGAAATCATTATTAGCCTTGATGGTAGTACGACTGTGTCTGAAGGCCATCTCCTGGGAAACTAGTGGACTTCCTTGTGCAGATGATTCTTCATTGCAAGAACAGAGTTCAGTTCTCCTGCAGGGCATTGTTTATGCCCTTATGTACTTCCAAATCAACAATGAAGCAGCATTACCCCAAAAAAATTCTTCTGCTAGGTGTACTCTGAATTGTATTTTTTAAAATCTTCACAAGCATTCCAACGCTGGCACCTGTTAAATTGAATTCTGAGGTTGCGGTATGTTATACAGCAGATATTTTCCTCATACTGTACATTAAACCCTAATTTTGCAATTGTAAAGGCTAGGAGTTTGTGACTTTATAATTTAAACTATAGTTCATATATCAGGAAGCGGTTGCACATTCTGTAGGTATGAACAGCCCCAGGTGCAATTTTTAGAATTTTAGGACTGCAAACATAAGAAAAGGAACTATGCCCAGAAGCTTAGAAAGCCACTGCCAATGAGGACTGGACTGGAAAATGTGGGTAGTCTACCAGGGGCTGGGCTGGGTGGTAGCACAATTTTGCGCTGGTTTGGCTCCTTTTTTCAAAACTGGTCCCAACTGGTGTTAGTAGGGGTGAGAGATCCGCTATCTTGTGACATGCCACAGGGCTCAGTACTCCCTCCACTCCTTTTTAACATCTACATGAAGTCATGGGGCAAGATCATCTATCACTTTGGGTTAGGTATCTGCAGTATGCTGATGATGCCCAAGTTTTTTTTTTTTTTTTACTCCTGGTGACCCAAGTGATGTTGTTGCTGCCCTCTCTTTGTGCCCAGGGACCTGAAAGGGGTGGTGGTGGACCACAGGCTTCAACTGAAACCTGGCAAGACCGAATAATTTTGGGTGCATGGGGCTCCGAGATTCAGGACTTTGTTATCTTTGACTCTGGATAGGGTGGGACTACTCCTGAGAGACCTGGTTTGCAACTTGGGGGTTCTCCTGGACTCACAACTCCTGCCTGAAGAGCAGGTGGCAATTGCTGCTAGGAGAGCCTTTGCATAACTTTGGGTTGTGTGCCAGTTGCTGCCTTTTCTGGATCAGAAACCCCTGCACTTATGGACTTCTAAGTGCATTCAGGCCCAAGTCATCTCATGGTTGAACTATTGTAATGAATTCTAAATGGGGCTACCCTTGAAGAGCATTCAAAAGCTGTAGCTGGTACAGAGTGCAGTGGCATGGGTAGTTCTTGGGTTCTGAAGAAAGGTCCATTTAACACACTGCTCCATGAGCTGCATTGGCTGCCAGTCTGCTTCCACATGGATTTCAAAGTGTTGATGATCTCCTTTAAAGCTCTTCATGGCATAGGTCCAGGTGACTTGAGGGACCATCTCATCCCACTGGGATTGGCCCATCCCACCCGTGCCAGCAAAGGAGGCATGCTGTGAGTCCCGTTGATCCAATTTATTCCAGTTAGGGGGCCCAGGAATAGGGCCTTTCTCTGCCACTACATCTCTCCTCTGTAACACCTTGCCCCCTTATGAGGTTGGCCCCAACCCTCCTGACCTTCCGTAAGAACATAAAGACCAATGGGGGAGCATCACAGTGGAGGTGGCTGATTATCAATATATCCCACTTCTCCCCCGACCCTGCACCCACTTCCCTCCCTCCCTTCCTTTATCTAATTAATCTCTCTCTCTCTCCCCCCACAAATCTATCTATCGTCTATCTATCACTATCTAGATAACCATCCATCTAATCTTTTATGATTGTAAGCCACCCAGAGTTACCCTGTGGTAAGATAGGCAGCCAATAAATTTTATAAACAAACAAATAAACACATACATACTATGCAGGTTTTTAAGAACATAGATTGTATTGCTCTGTGCCACATTCTGAGAGGAATTTAGATTTTGTGAACTTGTGAGCTACCATTTCTTTTACTGTAGTTAGGTAGAATCTTAGAATCTTAGTAGTTCAATCTACTCATTTGAACTACTCTTCAAACACAGATATGTTTTCGTCATATAACAAGTAGCTACTGAAATCTAAGTCCACTAAGCATCCCTTGAAACTCAAATTCTTGTTTACACAGCCTTCCTACTAAGCAAAAAAAAAAGAGAGAGAGAGAGAGAGAGAGAGAGAGAAAATTGTTCTATCAAATATGAAATAAGCTGAAACATGACATCATCATCATCAGATAGTGGTAAGTCATCCATTACATGAGGAATATTGGTTTAATATTGGACAAATTGTGTCTTATGCCTACAATTGTGAAAAAATATCCCAGAAAACAAAAAAGGGGGCCAGAGGGTCTAGGGAATGCCAAGGTCTTCATTTTCCCGTTTCTCCCTAAACTTCCTGGTTGCTGCAAAGCACATTCTGCCTGGCCTGGATAAGAAGAGCCTAATCATATCTCAGTACAACTATACTCAGGGCAACATGAAAGCACATTTCATGAATGCACATGAATTTCCCTCTGGCTTATTGCAGAATTTATGACCCTAAGCTTTCAAGTAGCTAGCTCATTTCTAAGAAACACATCAAGGCTTGGCTTTTTTTCTATCTTCCAATTGGCTTTCTTCTGTCAGTTTGTTGTAAATAGACTTGAAAAACTATTTGATCAAAAGGCAAGTTGTCGATCTGAAATCAAATATATTCAAATAGAACATTCAGTACCATAACTATACCAAGAATCATTTGCTCAGTTGGCATTTACTTGAATTTATAGATTTCTTTCCTGACTTCACAACTCTTATAATCTTTCTGTGCAACATTATCTCAATTTTGCAATAATAACCTCAGTTAACTGGAAAGATGGAGCCATCAGGAAAAATTAAGAATGCAAAGGCAAAACAAAACTGCAACCTGTTTTTTAAGAATAAATCCCATCAGTCTTGCCTTCTAGGAAAGAGCAGTCTTTCTCCTGTAGGCTCCAGTCTCCTGAAAATGGCCTTGAGGGGGGAAAATTAAGAATTCTTTATGGCATTGAATATCTGGACACAAGAACCCTAGAAAAGGAATCCTTGAAATAATTTTCTCCATTTTTAATCATTCTGAAGAATAATGAAAGATCAAGAAGAGTCAATCTGAACCTCAAAGTTTTCTACCATTGCACTGGAACTTGGAAACCCTGAGATTAATCGCAGAAGCCATGATATACACAATTTCCTTGCTTCCCTGAATTTCACTCTACACTCTTTATTCTCACTAACCTCTTTATTGAAAATGTGTCAAATTCACAAACGGCAACAATCAGTTGAATTTAAAGTACTACTTTTGGGTTGACGTTGACCTCTCAGATCTTCGTTAAACTGATGTCAGCCCTCTTTGCAAACAGCTACATCTCTGAGCATGTGCATATTTATTTGCATAATTTCTTGATCAGAGGTCCATCAAAAATAAGATTTTATTCAACAGTTTATTTAGTAACTGTTGTTTGGTCTATATGAATATGGGGTTGAATTTATGGATGTGATTATCATGTCTTGAAGGTAAGCTTCAAGGTTGATTATGTAGAGAGAATCTGTCTGACACACTTCTGTAATTTAATTGCCCATTCCTGCTATGTCTGCAAGTCAGCCAGCCATTTTAACTGGTTCAGCATTTATGAGACATTATAAAATAGACAGATGTGGCCTTTAATAATACTGAATTGCAATTTCTTTATTCCTGGGTGACATGGGTGAAAAAGACAATATTCCATAAATCCGTGGTGTAGCTATATTTTATTTCAACAATGTTCCTGGGAACATTGTTGAGAACACAGAAAGAATTCTGATAGATTAGATTTTCCTAATCCAGAATTAAGTCTAGTAACAGACAAACAGATGCCTATAAAAATCTCACACTCAGGAAATAAGTATTTATTAAGTGACTCCGTGGCATATTGCCTATGGCAATAGAAACAGTATAAAGCCATCATATGCAAACTGATACAACACACAGCACATATATTGGCTTTTGGTTATGAGATACATAATTCAACATAATGTGTCAAATTGGGGAACATTGACCTAACATTGACCTATTTTCAGATGATTATATCCACAAAAGTGTTGCCATCATGAGTAGGGTAACTTAATAAAATATTGAAATAAATGTATTCCTCATAATATATTAGTAGGGAAGAAGAGGTTTGTATGGAAGAATGCATTGAATTAAAAAAACAAAGTCTATTTATATGTGATCGTTCACACTGGATTTAGGCCATCCGTTAATCTCTTTGTTTCTCTTACCAGAATCATTATCATGGGCATCAGGTAGAGTAAGATACACATTATTATTCTTCTTGGCTGGTACTGTCTCAGTTAAACTGTTTGCTTTCTCTGAATCACTGGAAAAGAACAACAGGATAAACAAGTTAATTATCACTTACCTAAAAGACAGGGTATATGCTAGAGCCAGAACGCCGTAGTAGTTGAGGGCTTTGACTAAAACTTGGGAGGTTCTAGCCAATGTTTAACCACGAAGATTCAGTGGGTGATTTGGGGCCAATTATTTTATCTCAGTCCCACCTACCATACAGAGTTGTTGTGGGGAAACAAAGGAAGAGGAAGTGCTTCTGCAGAAAGATGGGAGAAATGTAAACAACAGCAATAATCAGTCCTAGAAAATGAGCATCTATCAACCTTGAAAGGTGAAATGTGGGTGCATATGATATAGTCGTGGTCAAAATTACTCAGGCAGCAGGGATTTCTGTCAAAAAGACAGAAGATTGTTGTGTCACAAGCCATACTGTGTGAAAATTTCGATAAAGCAAACTGCCAAGGCAGGATGATGATGTCAGTGGTGATCAATGCACTTGGATTAATTTGACATGTTTTAGCAAAGTGTGGCTTCTGTTGCTGAAAATCCAACGGTTTGCTTCTTTGTTACCTGTGAAGTAGGGAAAGTGTGATCTCTTCCTAGTGTAGAGAGTTGTGTTCTTCTCCATCGTAATGAGGAAAGCTGACTGAAGTCAAAATTATACTTGTCATCACTGGTTCAGTGGCTTATAACTAACTATGGGTTGTGTGTGGTCTCTGGCACAGAATGTTTTTATTATATTTTATCATTTTTCTTTGTACATGATATTCTAACCCCTGTCAGCTGCCCTGAGATGCCTTGTGAGTGGGCACCCTGATCATTCTCATGCACCGAATCGATCTGTTCATGGTGCAGAATAGAGAATGGGTCACCTGATGTCCTACTTTCCATCTCTATTGTGCTGCTCTTATGTACATAAAAGAACTAAGGCTGGAATAACCAAAGACTATTTTCTCTGTACAGTTCAAGCTAATTACCCACAGTATTGTTTCCTATGTCTCTGACAAGTTGTGTCCTTTTGTTATAAGGATATAGATAATGTAATTTGTGGTTATTAAGCCCCCTGTGCTTTTTATCTGTTACCTTTCATTCATCTTTTTCTCTCTCCTTCTCTCTCTCTCTCTCTCTCTCCCCCCCCCATCTCCCTGCCTCCTCTCTCTGCTTTTTGGCTGCCTTTTGTCCCCTGTTGCCATCCAATCATGTTTATATTTGGTGATGTTTAATAAATAAACATCAAGTTATATTTTTGATAGCTGAACTAAGCAGTGTGTCTTCTTGCTCTAACTGGATATAAGCACTCATTGCAAGGGGGCTGGGTGGCAACTAAACTGGAAATTACCCACAGTATTTTTCCACCAGCTAAGTAGTGCTGCATACAGCCTTTGACAGCAGCAAAAAGAGCAGCCATTCCTGGAATGGAAACGCATTTTCTGCTCAGAAATTAAGGCTTGTTTATATAACTAAAGGGGGAAAAACCTGGGATACTGCTTCTGCTATTAATAAATAAAATCCTAGGAGATATTTTAAGAATTAAGTTGGTATGTTTGCACTGATTCACAATGTTTATTTATTGAATCTGTATCCTTTTTTAAATCAAAGGGCTTGGGACAGCATTCACTTCTTTTCTTCCCTCTCTTACCCATTTTTTCCAGCAACAACTCAGTGAAGGTAAGAGAAAGAATAACTCTAATACTAATCATAGTCATTTTAGTAAGATTTTTAAACACATACATACTAACCAGTAGTGGGTTTCACTTACCTTCGCTACCGGTTCGGAACTGTGAGTGCATGCGTGCACACATGTGCAGAGTGTTTGTGATGACGTTCGGGCCGGTAGCTGCCACCCGCTACCGGTTCGCCCAAACTGGGCGAAGCGGTAGAAACCCACCACATACAAACATACTATAATGCAATATCATAATTGAGAATACAAAAAAATCAAACAAGACTTTAAAAAGCATCACATCAACAGATCCAGCAGGTTGGACCCACAAACTCTGTAATGCTTTGAGTATTTCCACTGAAAACAATTGGCCTTAATTTAATATGAGTGACATTGATTTCAATAGGTCCAGCCTTAAATATACCTAAATCTGAATCCCATTAAAGGATCTTAATATTAGTTTCTAGAAGGAGAAGTGGGAAAGGCCATTTACAATATACTTTCCATTGAAGTGTAGCTAGACATAGATCTGAGCATATATGAGTCATTCTTAAATATATGTGTTTGTGTGTGTATAGTGGCAGGAAGAGATACTGCCTAAGATTATCTAAAAGAAGGTCATTTAGGGTTTTAATATCAAAATGTGCTCCTTGAATTGAGCCTCCAAATTATTATTATTATTATTATTTATTATTTATTAGATTTCTATACCGCCCTACTCCCGAAGGACTCAGGGCGGTGCACAGCCAAACAATAAAAACACATACAATACAAAATTTAAAAAATAGAATAAAATCAAATTAAATAATTTTGGCCCCGACAAATTTAAAACCCCAAACTTTTAAAACCAATTTAAAATTGAATATATAAATACTAAAAAATATTTAAAATTTTAAAAATCTTTTATAAAAGAGGGGGAAAATTAGGCCAGGCCGGCCTGGTGAAATAGTAAGGTCTTTAAGGCGCGGCGGAAGGTGCGCAGATCCGGGATCCTCCGTATCTCTGGGGGGAGCTCGTTCCAGATAGTAGGTGCCCCCACAGAGAAGGCTCTCCCCCTGGGGGCCGCCAGTCGGCATTGTTTGGCTGACGGCACCCGGAGGAGCCCCTCTCTATGGGAGCGTACCGGCCGGTGGGAGGCTATTGGTGGTAGTAGGCGGTCCCGCAAGTACCCGGGTCCTAAGCCATGGAGCGCTTTAAAGGTGGTAACCAGTTGGTGGCATTTTGCCAGGAAAAAAAAAATGTTGGAGATGTTCTGTGGGCTTGTGTAAGTGTCCTGGCATCTCTGTCTAGCTACAGCACAGCCAGGGGTAAAAGAGAAGGGATTTCTTCCCTCCCCCTCCCCTCTCTTCCCCTGAGTGTAAGGATCTGATTCTGCTCTCCATGGAATATGCCTGGCAGCTGGGAGTGACTTCAGATTTAGTTCTGGTCTGTCCATTTGCCTTGATCTGCAATCCTGCTAAGCTGTAATGAATTCTAAATGGCAACCTGCATTAAATTTTCAGGTTTATCTCTGGAATGGAGCAGCATTGGAAAGTCAGTCCTGTCTTCGCTCTGAAAGGAAGCGGGGAGAGGGGATGATCCCTTGGATCCTGCTATTCTCCAAACAAGGCTTGGTAACCATGATGGTTATTTCCCAAGGTCTGGTTCTTAGAGACTTGGCTGGTTATATGATATTGCCTTCCTTCACATTTCCAAGTGATCTAAAGTGACATATCTTTCAATGCTTGTTTGTGGATGCTTAATGGTTTCTACAAATTTCAGGTCTCTTACTCAGCCACCTATATTTAGATTTAGGCAGGGATCCTAGACCTACTAAAATGCTTGTAAATCCACTCCAGGATTTACAAGTATGTAAGTGGGTGCAGTGCAGACATACAACCTTCTTTTTCTTCTCATTCTAAGTATAGGAGATGGAATAATGGAGTTAAATGGCAGGAAAGCAGATTCTGATTAATCATTATTTAAAAAGCAGCTGGACAGTTGAATACATTATCTAGACAGGGGGCAGACATCCTTTCTTGGATGTCTTCCCATGGAAGCTAGACAATAAGGATGCTTTAATTTGGATTCCTTCATGCAATAGGGCATTGCACTTGATGGCCCAAATGGCTTCTTCCACTTCTATTCAATAACAAGAACAACATACATTCTTTAAGAAGAATATTTTTTATAATTGAATTGCTGTTCTTACTCAGGAATTTACTTATTTATATGATTTATATAGCTACTCATCTGTGCATCTGCACCGCTTACAAGGATTAAAAATGCAGAAAAACTCACAATATATAATCCTAGGTAAACAATACCACCACTTATAAGAGGAGGGGGGAAGAAAGGTGCATAGGAACAATAGCAGAGCCATCAAACCACCTGACCCAAATGCCTAAAGAAAGAGGTGGATCTTCAATGATGAATTCTTCCTTACAAAAAGGCTAATGGGGCTGGGACCATCCCAAATCTCTAGGACAGAGGTCTTCAAACTTGGCAGGTTTAAGACTTGTGCACTTCAACTCTATGCTGGCTGGAGAATTCTGGGAGTTGACGTCCACAAGTCTTAAAGGTGCCAAGTTTGAAGACCTCTGCTCTAGGAGAATGCTGTTCTGTAGGGCAGGTGCTGCTACCGAGAAAGCACAACTCCAAGCTCCAACAAGGTGGCATTGTTTGAAAGAAGGGGCCCAGAGCATGTCTTCTCTACTAAATCTGGTGGGTGGCCAAGAAACAATAAAAGAAAGATAGTCCCACAAGTAGCCTGGCCTATGCCATCTCGAGTTTCATAGGTGATTATTAGTGCCTTGTAAGGTAGCTTTGAAAATGTTTAGATAAGCTAATAACCCACTTTAATGTCTCCTAGCCAGTTGGCCCACATATATGTTGCCAGTTTAGGCCTAAAGAAAATGTTTTTTTAAATCTTTCGGGAAAAATTCTTTTTTGATCATTTGGTGGTAGAGATAGCTTCAGGTCTTTGAGAATATTGCACCAGACGCACTTGTGACTGCTTCACATATGGACCAAGGGAATGGCTAAACTTTTTGTCATCAGGACAGCTAGATAGTCAGTATGAAGCACTTCCTCCCTTCCTTCCCAGCTGCTATTCTACTGCAAGTCCATCTCTTTACTGAGTAACTAGGGCTCATTCCGCTCCCATTCCTTGGTATGTTAAATCAAGCTGACCTGGTTTTTGAGCAGATACTATACTGATTGACAATAGAACCGGGAATGGGTAGTATAGGAAACTCTCCCTCTTCTTAATTAGGTTGTGGTCACTAAAATAATCTCCATCCCTTCAGGAAGCTGTGATTGGGCTGCAAGCCAGCGGCAAAGTCACTCTGAAGACAATCAGCTTGGTTTCTTGAAAACATTTAAGGCTGCTAAGATGATCTTGTTTCTGGAATCTATTCCTTGTTACAGTCAATATTGACTCATTTCCATAATGATGTCACTACTGTTAATGGAATCACTATTTATGTCTGATCTCCTACAGTAATTATATTATAGATTAAAGGTGTGATACTCTCGCATGATGGACTAGTACAGAGATCTTCAAACTTGGCAGCTTTAAGACTTGTGGACTTCAACTTCCAGAATTCTCCAGCCAGCTATGCTGGCTGGAGAATTCTGGGAGGGCAACAAGTCTTAAAGCTGCCAAGTTTGGGGACCCCTGGACTAGTACTTCACACACACAATTACAAACAAATGCTGGCTTGCCTAGACTTCTTGAAGCAGTGGAATCTCTACTTTTTAATTTGTTCAAGGGGTGAATGATAATATACACAAGCCTGTTGATGACATAGAATCATTCAGAATCGAAACACTGATGAAGGATGTGAAGAGCTCCTACATTATATCCCCAAAATTGGTTGAATGTGCTTTAAAGTCAATACAATAATGACTGTATGGAGAAACGTAATAACTTATGAAAATATGGAGAGAGAGAAGTTTGTCTCCTCCTGTCATAATGTTAAAATTCAGCCATTGAAACTAAAAGAGGAATGATTCAGGATCAGTGAAAGGAAATATTTTGCAAAGTTTAGACTAGAGACCAATTTAAGTCTCTTTAAATAAACAATTCCATGGATTATAGGCTCATCAGTGGTTACTGTTCCTAATAGTTGAATATTGTCTCCTGAATCACAGCATTCCTTACATATCAGTCACTGAGGAGTGATAGTAGAATACTATTGCCCTCTGTCCTTGCTTGTAAACTCCTTGCATGTTCTGGCTGACCACTGTGTTACACAGAATGCTAGATTAGCAAGCAGTGGCTTGATTCAATATGGCTCACATTTTGCAGCTGTTCATGAAATGTTGGGTATGAAACTACACTAGGCTTATGAACTCCCATACCCAGACAACCCTTTCTGCATCTCCATTTAAAGGAAATCCAGTTTCAATTTAAAGAAAAGCCTACCTTTGCTGCGAAACATTATAGAACATCTGCCACTGATGCAACATATGTCTACAGGTCACTAAAGCCTCTTCCGGTCCTTTATGTATTAATTCCAGTTTTATTTTTGTGAAGAGTAAACTGCAATAAAAATATACAGACATATAAATAGCAAATAATATTTAGGTGTACAGATAAACACAACATGATAAACATAATTTCCATTTGTAGAGAGATGATGTTTGACAACCAAAATTAAGCCATTTTCATATTTTCATATAATATAAACACACTATGCTTAGGTGATAACTGCTGCCAGCATTACAGCCAAAATGGAGCCTTTAAAAAATATCAGGATTAAAAAGAAAAAAAATCCTAACAGTTAACCAAAAATAAATGTAAATTTGATTCAAATAATTTAGAAAATTCAAATTTGAGGAGAAAACCAGACAGATTGGTAGAAAAAAGTAACTGAAAAAAAGTGAAAAAAAATTCCCCCATCCATGGATATAGATGAGTTAAATGTATGGAATCAATATTATAAAAATGATTACCAATTTGCAAATGGATTCCCTGTGCTTAATTTTTAGTACCATATTAACATTAAAATACTGCTATATTATAGTATGTTCATGCAGTAACATGAAAAACTGAAAAACAAACTTTATAATAGAAATGAAGTTAAAAAACAATCAGGCTGGAAAACATTCTTCAATCCCCAAATCTAAAAATGTTGATAACTTATATTTTTTTTAAAAAAAATAATTTTAGTTAAAAGAAGATTTTACAAAGATTTTAAAAACTATAGAAACATAAATAGTATAGAAAAGATTCTAAAAGGGTAGAAGTGAAGAATTACAAAAAAGCAAGAAAAAAGGTATGCAAAGTAAAACTTTAACTTGGATTTCTAAAGGCATACATTTGTATATATTTAACATCATTATGAAAAATGGAAAAAGATACACTACATTCATAGCTTTTAAACTGATCCTGCCAAAATCTTTATTCCAAGAAAACTTCATTAAGTGAGCATTACAGTGAAAGAAATATAATAATGATAACGGCCAGAATAATCCTAAAGAGATTATTTCCACTATATTATATTAGTGCCATATGTTTTAAGAGGAGAAACTTACAGGGGAATTACTTCAGTTCCTTAATTATTTCGGTTGACCTTTTCATTGGTTTTCTTTGCTCTACAATACCTTTTCAAGGTGTCAGTCAGCATCACTTTTCTTGCACTTTTAGGATCTGAGGCAAATCAGCTAATCTTAATATTGCTCATCATCTAAAGCTACCACTGGGGACCAGATTGAACAAACACATAAAAAGCCTAGTCACAATGTTCCCCTACAACTGTGTCAGATGTATATTTATTTATTAAATTTCTATGCCCCCTTCTCACTAATACAGCAACTCTGGGTGGTTTTTTGCTTCACTTATAATTGTTCTCTCAAAAGACGTATCACGTATGTAAATTAGCACACATATATTTTATGCAAAGCTTTGTCCTTTTGTTGGCAATGTATAATTAGTGGTCCAACTGGTGAATGAAATCCTGGAGCACCTGCTCATGAGTTAGGCTTAGTGGTTCCCCCTACTCACTCACCCCTTCTTGGCCTAGCACAATGCAGTGTCAGCAGAAAATTTAACAAGAGTTTTACGGAGAGTTATGGTTGTGTGAATGTCAAATAAGGTCTTGAACTGAACTTTATTCTATCTGCTGAAATACAGAGCTTGCTGCAAGATATATGGCAAGAAGTAGAATTTAATCCTTAGAGCCATTAAGAAAAATTCCAGCAGAGCTATGTTTAAAATACAAAGCCTTCTATCAAATTCCATTTGGTTACATGAAGGATTACCTCTTTATACCCATGTCCTTGAATAGCAACATCCGTTGATAGAAATAAAATTGTCAGTCAATAAAAGGTTAGTTGAATATATAAGATGAAACTTTCATTGGAAACCAATCCTTCCCACTAAGAAGGGTCTTAAGTTTAATGTCAGAATATCCTTTAAAGGATAAAGTAAATGAAAACCCAAAACAAGAAAATGCATCTTTGTTTTAAAATATTCTTTTTAATATTCCATTGCACCAAAGGTGTTCTTGAAAACAATCAAATCATACATGTGATCTCAATGTTTTTATAGGAATCCCAGGATATTTACTCCCATTTTTTATTTAAATGCCTTCCTGGTCAGATGGGAAGTGCTCAAGTGTTCCAATGTGGTTGAGGAAATATATTTGGGCATTTAGCAGTTTAAAGGTTTCCCCTGACTCAAGGGAGTGATACTCATCTCCGATGCTTAGCCGAGGGAGCCTGCATTTTCTGAGATGTTTCCATCATCATGTGAGCAGTATGAAAATGTGGAATGCAGTAACCTTCCTGCTAAAGCACTACCTATTTATCTACTCACATTTGCATGCTTTCGAACTGCTAGGTTGGCAGGAGCTGAGACAAATAATGGGAGCTCACTCCGTTATGCAGCGCTCAGATCTCGATCCAGTGCTGCAGGCTTTCCAGATGACAAGCTGAGCATCTTAACCACTAAGCGATCGCATTATCCCCTTAGTAATCATCACCTTCACCACTATGGCTTAGGACCTGGGTACCTACGAGACCGCCTTCTGCCACCGGTAGCCTCTCACCGGCCAGTACGCTCCCACAGAGAGGGGCTCCTCAGGGTGCCGTCGGTCAGTGTCGACCGGCAGCCCCCAGGGGGAGAGCTTTCTCTGTGGGGGCACCTGCCCTTTGGAACAAGCTCCCCCCGGAGATACGGAGGATCCCAGATTTACGCACTTTCCACCGTGCCCTCAACATTTTTTATTCCAACAAGCTGGGCTGGCCTAACTCTTTTTAATTTTAATTTTAATTTGCTTTTAAAAAAGGGGTGTTTTAATTAGTATGGGCCAAATTTGTTTAATATGTTTTAAATTGTTTTTTAAATTTTATATTGTATGTGTTTTATCTTTGGCTGTTCACAGCCCTGAGTCCTTTGGGAGAAGGGCGGTATATAAATCCAAATAAACCTAAACCTAAACCATTACAAAACTTTTCAGGTTTCACAAATGCATTAATGCATTAATGCACGGGTTGTAATGGGAGTGTCCTGACACTCCCATGTTACACCCCTCCTGCACGACTTACATTAGTTACAGGTTGCCCTTCGGGTGAGGTTCAAGGTGCTGGTTATCACCTACAAAGCCCTTCATGGCCTAGGCCCAGGATATTTGTCGGATCCCCTGCAGCCAGCAACAATCCCCAATCGCCCGGTGCGTTCCCACAGACAGGGCCTCCTCAGGGTGCCATCGGCCAGACAATGTCGGCTGGCGACCTCCAGGGGGAGAGCTTTCTCTGTGGGCGCTCCCACCCTTTGGAACCAACTTCCTTTGGAGCTCCGAATGGCCCCTGACCTTCACTCATTCCGCCGCGATTTGAAGACCTGGTTGTTCCACAGCCTGGACTGATTGGGGGAGGGGGGTGTTAATGAATTTTAAATTGTTTTAAATCGGAACTTTAATTTTATATCGCTTTTAATGAGGAAGGAATTATGCATTTTTACTGTTGTGAGCCGTCCTGAGTCCTCGGAGATAGGGCGGCATATAAATTGCATTAAATAAATAAATAAATAAATAAATAAATAAATAAATAAATAAATAAATATCCAGCACAAATTGTGCACATCCATTAAATATGAACAGAGAGTTCTTGCTCCTGAGTGAAATTCTCCCATTTATTAAAACTGTGCCATGAACACTTGAAAAGCAGCATCCTTCACAGAATTTCAGTGTTCAAGGATTCCTATCCACATTCCCCAGTATTCAAAATAAAGGACGGTATTCTTTTTCCTATTGGCTGCATGAAAACAGCCATTTTTATTAAGCCTGTTGAGGGGATTTTGGGAAAGGTAGGGATGTGAGAGGAGAAGAATCTCTGGAATATATGTACATTTAAATGTGATGCAGGCAGGCCAAATGGAAGCACTTGCACATGTTTGGCCACCTACCTCCAAGTCCCACAATCCATGGAGCTCAGGGGCGGATTTCAAAACCCGTCACTATCAGTTTGCTCGTGGGCGCGCATGTGCTCTCTCTTGCACATGATCCTTCTGCACATGCGCAGAGGTGTCTGGGCAGGTGGGCGGAGCCTCCCACCGCAGCTACCAGTTCGCTCAAACCGGGACGAACCGGTAGCAACCCACCACTGGTGCAGCTCTTGAGACAAAAAATTACCCATCTCTTGCTCAATGTGAAAAAGAAAAGATGAATGTAAAGACTCCCTCAAGATAAACTTGACTCCTGTAACTCCTTGTAGTTTCCTTGGTAAGAATACAAAGGGGTTAGCATTGCCTTCTTTCAGGATACACTTCCTAATCTAGCATATAGCCCTGGGATTCCTCAGAGTTTCCCATTCAAGTACCAACCAAGTCCAACCCTACTTAGCTTTTTAAAGATCACTCAAGTTTAGCTCTATGCTGCCACCTGCTGTACCAAAACAATAAAGGTGTGCAATTGCTTGAACAATTCTAAAGCTGATTCATGGGCCAGTTATTCTTTTTTTCTACACAGTTTATTTTGCAAAGTTCTTATGAAGATAAATAGCGATAAAATAAGATAGCACAAAAAGATATGATCATCCCATTTCTCCACTGTCCTCCAGAATGCCGGATGAATAATTCAGGGTGCACTGCAGGAGACTTCAATATTATTTTCTTAAGTACAAGCAGGCAGACAGTATAACTGAGAATTAATGTTTTAAAGTCTGTATACAAAGAATAGATTATTTGTCATAGCCTCTCAAAATGCTTCACTGTATTTGTCTTGTGTAAACAATAAAATACTTTTTTTTCTTATCTGACATTATGCCACCGATGGAAACTTCTGAGCTAAGTTTTTTAGTCCGCTGACATGAGTCATCATGGTCAGATCAATTTCCTCATGACCTCTTAAGGGAGCCTTATGCCTAAAATCTGAAGGTGGAGGCTGGGATTTGAAGCACTGTAAGGTAGTAGCAGACATGAATGTTGTACCTTCTCTGTAGCTTCAACGGATAGATTATGTTGAGTAATTTGGGTGGAAATGATAGCTATTATTTTAGTTAAGGGAACCAGACTCAGAGAAGCCATTTAAGTGAATAAGT